AGTTTGGTTTTGTATTGCTATAATGAGAAGATTTATTAAATTTCTAAGTTTAGTTTGGTTTTGTATTGCTATAATGAGAAGATTTTCTAGGAAATTTACCTTAAAGTTATATATAAAAATGTTTTAATGAGAAGATTTTCTAGGAAATTTACCTTAAAGTTATATATAAAAATGTTTTCTTGAGTAATAACTATCTTCAATTAGATTGTCTAAACTTATCAAGTAATTTTAGTTATTTACTGACCTCTTTAGATTGGCAAGTTAACCGAATTTTGTGGGTATATTCAATACAAACTCTCACGAGACTACAACTCGTCCTCTCGGGTAACCTAAGGGTTTAAAGGCTTGTTGTATGCACTAAATACAACCGTGATTCCTACAAAAGTGAGTTAAGATTTTTAATTTCTTTCTTTGGTAAAGGGCTAGCAAAAGTTTAGGTGTGGGGGTATTTGATAATCATATTTTTATTATAATTTTTTACCCTCATTATCTATTTTACATGAATAAATATACCACTAATAATTATTTTATCTTTAATTATAGGTTAATGAAGAAATAATGAATAAAAGCCCAAAAGGCTCCAACTTTCTCATTTTGTAACCTTTTATAGAAGTCGGAGAAAACCAAAAATCCAATATGAAGAGAAATTATATTCAAGATGGTTTGCCGAAAAAAAACGACGATATCTCCCAATCCGGAAGGTAGAATTTAACATATAATATATAAAAATAACCTATCTCGACAAGACGAAGCTAACCGTGAAGTCAGAATTTTGATAGGAGCATCGATGGTGGTATCGATGCTAGCATCGATACCCCCATCGATGCCTCTATTTAGTTACAAGCCTATGGCTGAAATTCAAGGGTTTTGGATAAGAACTTGATCCAAGGGCTCATATTCATTGATGTTTACTATAAATAGGGGTAGATAGTGAGGGATTAAGAGTGTGAAAAATTTTATAACTTTATTTGGAGAGGAGGATTACTCTTAATTGAGAAGACTTTCCAAAAATTATAACTTTTTGTTGCAATCAATAAAAGAATTTTTTTCAGCACATTAAATTTTTTTTTCTCTTTATTTGATGATGATGATGGAGATGAAGATCAATTTGAAGGTTTGTTTTTATTTTATTTTTCTCTTTTATTTTTTTAGTAATTTCTTTCTTATTGCTTGTTAGTTTAGATTTACATTCATGTCTTATAGAGTAGATTTATTTTTTTGTCTTTATTTTATACATTTTTAATTTGTAGAGTATATTTATTTTCTTGCATTTTTATTTCTTTTACAATTTAGTTAGATTTATTTCTTGTTCATAGTGTAAAGTTCCTTGTTCTTATTTCTTTTCTTTGTAATTAGTTCTTATTCTTTTCATTTCATTCCTTGTTTTTATTTCTTAAGATGTGAAACTAATTCTTGTAGTAATTAGTTCTTATTCTTTTCATTTCATTCCTTGTTTTTATTTCTTAAGATGTGAAACTAATTCTTGTAAGAATCTTAGAATTACATGAAATTAGATTTATTTCCTTTATATTGTATGAATTATTCACTTATGCTTAAAATAATCATGTATAGGATAATCAACTAGAGAACTAATTAGTAGAAGAATTTGATAATCTATGCTTATCTTGAGTGGTTTGATAGGTTATGCTTATGAATTCTAGAATTATTATCTAGTTGTTGTTCTTGTCATGAATATTAATTTTACTTAGATGATAATTTGATAGGTTATATTTTCCTTAAATGGTCTGGTAGTCTATGCTTAATAAATCTAAAGTAAAATATGATAAAAAAGAATAATTCATATTTTATAATTAAAATTAGCTAGTAGAATTCAATTCTAGATTTCTCATATCTTTAATTGAATCCTCCATCTTTTCTTTCTTGATTTTTTCTTAGTTCTTGATTTTCTCTTATTTGTTTCTTGATTTTTATTTCTTTTATTTTTATTTTCTTATGATTTCATTTATTCTTTTATCACATCTACTCTTCATTTCTATCATCTAAAATCTCATTTATTGACTTTTGCACATATTCACAACACTCATCATATCTCTCCACAATCATAATTTTCATCACTCCTAATTGTCACGCACACAACATAAGAACCTAATCTAATTTTCTCCTACAATACACCTTCCTCGTGGGATCGATAACTCTTTATACTATAACTTGATTAGTTGTGCACTTGTAATTTTTGGTACATATTTATACCCCATCAGTTTTAAAAGAGCTTCAACTTTCATTTGCTTTCACTATTTTAAAGCCCACATCCCAAGCTTCAATTGCAATCTCCTCTCTTGCCATAGGGCTACTGTAAAGAGAGAGTTTTTCTTCGATTTACTACTATTGTGAGCTTGATCTCGTGGAGATCTACTGTGTGGTTCTGAGATCTTGGTGAAGATCGTTGTGTAGAAGAAGTTTCGGCTTCCAAACCGGATGTGTAGTGAAATTCTCCTCGAGAGTGGGGAGCGGGGACGTAGGTCAGCGGACCGAACCTCGTGAACATACTGTGTGTCATCAATTGGCTAACTATCTCTATCCCTACTCTCTTTTATTGTCATTGCATTTCATATTTGTGTATGGTTTGTTGGAATATCTTTTAATTGCATATTATTTGTCCATAAACCCTATTCACCCTCCCCCCCTATAGGGCCTTTCAGCCTACTGAGATGAGGGAGCTCTAGATCCAGTTAGATGAATTATTATCTCAGGATTTCATTCGCCGGAGTCATTCTCTGTGAGGAGCGTCGGTCTTCTTCGTAAAGAAAAAGGACGGTAGCATGCGATTGTACATAGATTATCATGAGTTGAACAAGGTCACATCCAGAATAGGTATCCACTACCGAGGATTGATGACTTGTTCAACCAGTTGCAGGGAGCGTAGTGTTTCTCAAAGATTGATCTTCATTTCGGTTATTGTCAGTTGCGGGTCCGGGAGATGGATATTCCCAAGACTGCCTTTCTGACTCGATATGGGTCTTTCGAGTTTCTTGTCATGCCATTTGAACTGACCAATGCATCCGCGGTGTTCATGGATTTGATGAATCGGGTTTTTCATCCATACTTAGATCAGTTTATTATCGTGTTCATTGACGACATTCTTATTTATTCGAGATTGGAGGCAGTGCATGAGCAACACCTATGGTTGGCATTGCAGACCTTACGGGAGCATCAGCTATATGTCAAGTTTAGAAAATATGAGTTTTGGCAATCTGAGGTCAGATTTTTGGGCCATGTTATCAGTCAGGAGGGCATTACAGTAGATCAGGCTAAGGTGGAGGTCGTTCTTGATTGGGAGCCGCTGAAGACCGTTACCGAGATTCGTAGCTTCTTAGGTCTGACGGGCTATTACAGAAAGTTTATTTAGGATTTTTTGAAGATTGCGATGCCACTTATACACCTTACTAAGAAGGGTGTACAGATTGATTGGGGCACGGAGTGCCAAGATGCCTTTGAGACTTTAAATGCTAAGTTGACTTAAGCGCTGGTGTTGATTCTTCCGAGCAGTGATAAGACTTTTGTTGTCTACACTGATGCGTCATTATCGGGTCTTGGAGATATTTTGATGCAGACCTAGAGCTTTGTGGCCTATATTTTGAGGCAGTTGAGGACTCATGAGCAAAATTACCCCACGCATGACTTGGAGCTAGCAGCAGTGGTCTTTGCACTAAAGATGTGGAGGCATTATTTGTATGGAGTATAGTTTGAGCTGTTCACAGACCATTACAGTTTAAAATACCTCTTCTCACAGAAGAAACTCAACCAAAGACAGTGGCGATGAGTCGTGTTTATCAAAGATTATGAGTTTGCACTTCAGTACCACTCGGGGAAGGAGAATGTAGTAGCCGATACATTGAGTAGGAAGTGTCGGTGCGGGCTTGCAGCTTTGAGTTGTTCATTACTTTGAGATCTTTACACCCTCAGTCAGTTTGACTTTAGACTGGAAATTGGCGGGAGCAGCGCATTTTTAGGAGCTATGTCAGTACAGTCATCTTAGAGTGATCAAGTGGTTAGAGCTCAGCTAGAGGATTTTTGGATTCAAAACCGAAATGGAGAGATTTCCAAACAGCCCAAGGTTGATTGGACTATTGAAGCAGATAAAGACCTTTGGATGAAGGGTCGGATTGTCATACCGAACAACTCATAGCTGAAGAAAGAATTATTTGATGAGGCACATCGTACCAGGTATATAGTGCATCCAGGCACAACGAAAATGTACAAGGACCTGTAGAGGTATTTTTGATGGAGTGGCATGCGTAGAGAGATTGCGGAATATGTAGCTAAGTGTTTTACCTGCCAGCAAGTGAAAGCAGAATATCAGAGACCAGCAGAAACTCTATAGCCTTTACCCATTCAAGAGTGGAAGTGGGAAAATATTTCTATGGATTTTATTGTATGGTTGCCAAGATCAAAGAAGGGGAATGATTCCATTTGGGTGATAGTAGAACGATTGTCACGCCCCGCTTCCTAAAATACCTAGGAATCAGAACGTGAACAAGCCCACAACGTATTAGATCAAGGAGAATAAATAAAAATAAACATTTCTCCTCAACCTAATACGCTAAGCGTCTGGAAATAAATACAATGCAAAGGCATAGGTCCTCGATCACAGATAGCAAGAATATAATGAACAACACGGAATAAAATAATACATATCACAAATGAATATCATCCAAAACATAATATTCGGGTCAAACATGCCCTTATACCAAACTGAACAAATGAATACTGAAGAAATATGAGATACATTGTTCAACAAAAATAGAAGAGAAAAGACTACAAAACAACTAGGATCATCAATTAAGATGAGATACTGAACTTCGGCCTATTCTTCAACTCTGTCTGCAAGGCACTCATGCTGAGGATCCTCTAGCTCCTGGTACATCTCCAAGCTGGACCTGTTCTTCTTCTAAGTCTGACATACACCAGAGAAAATAAGTGTACGTCAGTGTGCGTGGAACACGACAAGACCCCACAAAAGTAATAGAATGAACGAAAACCTAAGCGAAAAACGATACGATAACAGAATTGACAAAAGGAAGTGCAACTAGAAATCCAACAAAATCAATCAAGTAACAAGTTGCTCTTGCAGCTAGCTATCAGAAATCATCCAAGTAACAGGGTCATACAACTAGATGGAATTAATACTTAAAAATCTACAACAAGAGATGTAGTATGTCGAGCGAATTAATCCATACAAGGAAACCCTCATGTATATAGCATATGTCTCAAATTGTAGATAATTAAATATTAACCCCGATCTATGTATGAAAAGAAAATACAACTGACCTACATCTCACAAGAATTCATACTTAGCAAAGAAACGAGGTCATGCAACTAGCCATCCTATAACATGTCACTGGTTCACATCTCACACAAAATCAACGTTCATATCATCGGATAACTGACTGTTCACATATCCCCTACGAGCATCCAATCAAATAAATTCATGAACTAAAGTAGCGACACCAATCTACTTTGACCCAACCAACCAACCCCAGTGGCGACATCGATCCACTGTGACTGAACAAACCTACCCAAGTGGCGACACCGATCCACTGGTGCGAGCCAGGAAGATATATCAACAGTCTTAACCGATTACATGAACATAGCCTTTCCACCCCAATATCTCTTGTATTTCTAAGTTAACAACACACAAACCTCTAGGTCTTATTCACGTCACACAGATCACTATAGTCATAAACTCCTAACGATTCTCAAACACAACAAGGAACAATCAATGCAACTAATCATGTATAATAATATCATGACATATCAGATAATCAAAATTAAAAATTATAGATCATAAACAGCATCTACATAATTCAGAAAATAATCTTTTTCTAAAGTAATTCATTTTAAATTATTTCTTATAATTAATAATTCCAAAAATCTTTAAAATATTCTTTTTTTTTTAATATCTCAAAATAACCCTTTTTACAAAATAATTTTCCTTTAAACTATTTATCATATTATTATTATTTAAATATTATTCATTAACAAGCCCACACAGTTATCATAATCTTTATACCATAACATAATCAAATCACAGTATAGTCTAAGCAAATTCATAATAGGTCTAAAAATTGAAACAACAAGTCAAAGAGAAAGCCATCTTGCCTTAAAATCATGTACAAGCCTCTGAAACAAACAACAAACAATCTGCAAGTGTAAACAACACGTTCTTCCTTGCCACACGTCGATGATCTCGCCCTCGTGTCGGTATTATGCTTTACAAAGCTCTCAAAATTCATAAGAAAAAGATTTAGGATTTTTAAGGGGAGAGGGTGGCTACTAGGTTTTAGAGATATGATAAAAAAGAGGAATTTTCGTAAAAAAACATAGGTATTTATAGAGGCAAGCCCGAAACAAACCTGTTTGATCCGAACCAGGAAACCTAGTCTGACTGGGAAAATCACCTTCGGTATTTTAGCTGTAATTTTCTCATCCGATCTTAGAATGATGTGATTTAAGATTTGCTAGAAATCTGTTGAAGAGACCTACAACTTTGGTATTTTCTATTTTTTTATATTCCAACTACATCATTGTATAAAACATAGAAACTCTTAACTGGTCATTTTTCCCAGATTTCTCTTCGTGCATGTTTTGTGCATTTGCACTAAAACATAGAAACTCTTAACTGGTCATTTTTCCCAGATTTCTCTTCGTGCATGTTTTGTGCATTTGCACTCATATATTCACAAATATACATTTCGTGCATGTTTTGTGCATTTGCACTCATATATTCACAAATATACATTGAATTGATCTTAAATCAATTCTTATCATACCCAAACATCAAAATATATTATTTTTAGCATAAAATATATTTATCATTATTTATCATGAAAATTTTTAAATTTACGGGGTTTTACAACGATTGACAAAGTCGGTGCATTTCTTATCTGTGGAGATGACTTATACGGTGGAGACGTATGCGAGGATCTTCATCCAGAAGATAGTTCATTTACATAGAGTCCCAAAGATGATTATATCAGACTGAGGCTCAATCTTCACATCTCATTTGTGGAGGAGTTTCCAGAATTCTTTTGGCAGCCAGTTATCATATAGTAGCGTTTTCCACCCACAGACGGATGGTCAGACAGAGAGGGTGAATCAGGTGTTGGAGGACTAGCTACGAGCATGTGTTATAGATTTCAGGGTAGTTGGGAGGACCACATTCCATCGATTGAATTTGCTTATAATAATAGTAATCAAGATACTATCGAGATGGCACCGTATGAGGCATTGTATGGGAGGCCATGTAGATCGCCTATTTGTTAGGCAAAGTCAGAGGATAGCTTATTGCTTGGACTAGAGTTAGTGAGGCGGGCTACAGAGAAGGTAACATTGATTAGAGAGCGTATTCTTACCACTCAGAGTTGGCAAAAGAGCTACGCGGATCAGAGCCGATGACCTATGGGGTTTCAGATTGGACATTTAGTCATGTTGAAAGTATCGCTAATGAAGAGCGTTCAGCGATTTGGTAGACGGAAAAAACTTACCCTGAGATATGTTGGTCCATTCAAGATTATTAAGCGTGTTAGAGATGTTTCTTATAGATTAGATCTCCCAGCATCGATGTCAAGTGTACACAACATCTTTCATATTTCGATGCTCAAGAAGCATTTGCGTGACGAGGAGTAGTAGAGAGTGATTGATGCACCAGAGATAGAGATTCAGGATAATTTAACTACCGTAGAGGTCCCGGTTTGTATTCTTGCTAGAGAGGATAAAAGGCTTAGAAACAAAGTTATTCCGTTAGTGAAAGTTTAGTGAAACCGACAAGGAGCCAAAGAAGCCTATTGGGAGCGTGAGGAGGATGTACGTCATGACTACTCACACATGTTTGAGCAGGTAAGATATTGATGTTTGAGTATGCATATATGCATTTATGTTTATGTTATATTATTCAGCCACATTTATATTTAATGCTAGAATAGGGTACTAATACTTAGCTCCTAATCACTCGGAACATAAGGTATATATATAGTGAGTGCACGCATTTTAGAATGGGGTACTAACACTTAGTTCCGTCTAATTAGGGGTTAAGTGGGAATGCACACATTTTAGATTGTTAAGTTTAAATGTTTGCTTATGATCTATTGTTCGTGGGAAAAATTGTCTTCTTCATTGATTCCATCGATTACAAAAATCCGGTCTTTTTATAAGATCCGGTTACAACGAGATCAAAAAAGAAATAAAAATTACAACTTTCCTTGAACGAATCGCGAGCTCCTGTTTTGCGGTCACTCGCTTTTGTGGGTTCTTCGCCTGCGTCGGGGTTAATCCGTGGACCACCGCGCTGTAGGCGTATAAAATTGCTTATAGGTCCCTTAGCACAGCTCGGCACAAACCGACGAACCATCGGGCGACATATCCAAACACGAGCGTCAGTCCACAACGCCGAAGCCAAGTGACACGCAACGAAGCGGATTAACGAGGCAACGAGGCTAACGAACCGCACGCAAACAATGGAATACATCCATTCGCATGCAGAATCAAGCTAACAGTTCGGTGAGTCAACGAGTCATCCAACCATAGAACGGATTTGAACTCAAACACCGAGGTGGATTTACTATCATATTAGGATTCGGACTGTCAAATCAGAGTCTGGATCAACAACGAAGCGCAAAACCGGACAACGGACACAACACGGCAACACCTGGAGGACTCGGCCAAAACCGAGCCACCTATAGGTGGCTAGGTGGCCGAGCCACCTCTAGGTGGCCGACCCACCTCTAGGTGGCCGACCCACCTCTAGGTGGCCGACCCAGATCTGTGCCAAGGCACAGATCTGAGAGCCTATAAATAGAGGGCTTGAGCTCATTTTTTGAAGGTTGGAACTTCGAGAGCCGAAACTCTGCCAAATTGAGAACTGAGCTTGGAAGTTTTGAAGACTTGAAGACTTGGACATTCAGATCTGGTTCTTAGCGAGCATCCACGTCACAAAAGGCAGGAGTTCGAGAGAGAGAAATCAGATCTGAGATCTACACGAAGTAATACTCCGGATCAAAGCTTGGCCTTTGATCCCGAGAATTAAAGGCTATTATTTCCTTGGTGAAATAGTACCCCCCCGGCTGTTATTTCCTTAGTGAGATAACACCCGTCAAATCGTGTAGATCCGACCGGATCTAGATCGCACGGTGGTCCACGGATTAACCCCGGCGTTGGCAAAGAACCCACACAAGCGAGTGACCGCAAAACAGGAGCTTGTGATTCGTTCGAAAGGAAAGTTGTAATCTTTTTATTTTTTTTTCTTTGATTTTGTTGTAACCGGATCTTATAAAAAGACTGGATCTTTTGTAATCAAAAAGCAATTACTTGAGAGAACAATGAAATCAATGAAGAACACAATTTTTCCCGCGAACAATCTGGCGACCACAGTGGGAGCCAACGATCTCGCTGCCGAGATCGTCACGTCACAGCCGCGGATTTGTCATCCTCGTCCGGATCTATCTCCCCCCGCAAGTCCAAGAAGTTCTCCTCCAGGAGAAAAGTTCGTTGGTACGAAGAAGTACAGAATGCCAACAAAGCTCTCACCCCAACTGATGCCAAAGTCGCATCAGGTGAAGTTCCACCAACCTCCAGCGAGGTCAAACCTGTTCTTGCCGACGCCTCTACTATTGAGGGCGTTGTGACTCTCTCAAAGAGAGCCCGCCAAAGGTGATGTCAACGCTTGGCGCGGCAACTCGCGAAAGCGATGGAGTCCACCGACGGAGTCCGCTATCACGCGGATCTGAAGAACAGGAGAGGCAAACAGCCTCAACAACTGAAGAATGGTAGCTCCTCCAAGCCGCCAACGAACGAATGGATCCGGGTCAAATGGAACCGTTCGACACTTGAAGAGCGGATTCACAAACGCCGCACGTTACTCGCACAAGCAAAAATTCTTGTGCAGGAGGCCAAGAAATTGGAGGAAGAAAGAGTGGCCAAAAAGCCGCCATCAACCCGCCAAGTGTGGAGGCCGAAGCAACCTCCAACAAAAGTTCAACCACCGGCGAATCAACCCAAGTCGCCGGTAATTCCAATAATTTCTCTGGGAGATCATGCAGAATCATCCCGAAAGAAGAAGCCAGTTTTGGAGTGCCTCGGT